GTCTCACTATGTAGTTGAGACTGACCTGGAACTCACTACGTAGCCCAGGCTGCTCTCGAACTCACAGTGATCCTCCTGTCTCAGTCTGCCTAGTGTTGGGATTACAGGCATGCGCCACCACGCCCGGCAAAATGTGTATGATTCTTTTTTTTTGTACCGGGGATCAAACTCTGGCCCTTGTCCTTGTGAGGCAGAAAGCAGAACCATTGAGCCAAATCCCACCCCCCTTTTTAAGATAGAATCTCACTAAGTTACTAAAGTTGCCCAGACAAGGCTAGAACTTGTGATCTTCCTGCCTAAGTCTCCTAGAGTCATAACAGAAGCTTTGATATATTTCCTTTTTTTCCTTTCCTAGGTGCCTTACCAAATATTCTCAATCTTACATCTGTCCATCCAGTCATATATCCCTTCATCTCTAATTTATTCATTCAATCAACACTTACATAGCATCTATATGACTTATGTCCTCATATTGCAAAGATAACTAGAATAATCTTCTCTTTGAGAGGCTCACAGGCTAGTTAGAAAGACAAGAAATAATCAAAGACTGGATATATAGCTCAGTGGTAGAACACTTATCTGGCATGCATGAGGCCCTGGGTTCAACCCTCAGAACCACAAGGAAAACCACAATAGCGTTTAACAATGGAGGTATTAGAAGTATAGAAATATGAAAGAACACAAGGCAGTAACATGTGAATGCAGATGTGTCATGTTTTCTAATCCACCAATGCAGGTACAAGTATTTCACGGTTGGTAGGGTACAGCACCAATTTGAAAGAACTGGTGCTATAGATCCAGCATATAACATACTTCCTGATAAAGAGCAGGCACTAAGTATTTATTTATTATTTATTTAGGTACTGGGATCAAACTCGGGACCTTGCACTTGTGAGGCAGGCGGTGGACCTACTGAGCTAAATACCTGGCCAGGCACTAAATATTTTATTGAATGAATGAGTAAACAGAACATCTAACTCTATCTACTGCAGTCTTTCTAGAGAAAATGATGTGAATTGAATTCTGAAGGATGTGTGGGATCTTATATGACAATATTCAAAGGCAAGCATTATACTTAACATTTTACATCAGCTTTTTTTTTTGGTATCAGGAATTGAATTTAGGACCTCACACTTCCTAGTCAGGCATGGTGCCACTGAGCTAAATTCCTGGCCCATCAGCACTTTTTAGCAATACATGCATGGGTGTGTGTGTGTGTGTGTGTGCGCACGCGCGTGTACCCAGGGCCTCACCTATCCAGGGCCTCATGCACATTAGGTAAGCACTATACCACTGAGCTACATTTTCAGACCAGTAACTCTTTATTACAAAAGTAAAAGATAAATTTTTCAACCACTTTCCCCATCTTGGAGCGTACACAACCAGAAGTCATGAAAGAACAGGCTCAAAGCTTTCCAATTCAAAGAAATTAAGAGTGGTAAATGCTATTTACCTTGATTTGATCATTACACATTATATACATGTATCAACTTAATCACACTATGCCCCATAAATATATACAAATGTTAGGTGTCAAACAATAAAAAACATCAAAAATGTTAAAAATTACATTAAATTTTCAAGGCTGGGGGGCCAGTACACGCACTGATAAAACTGACCTGCTTCCTTGGTACCGACTTGGAGATTCCTGTAGGTAAAAAAATGAGAGTGAAGGAAGATGTAGATCAAAGGTCCTAACCCGTCTTACTTGTTAGATAACTCAGCCACAACCTCTCCCTGGTGGTCTAGTGGCTAGGCTAACTCACTGCAGTGTCCCCCAGTAGTGGTTGCTAAGATTTCCAGGAGAAAATAAAGCAGCAATGTTCCTTAAGAAATTGTTAGTTTTGAGGGAATCTAATTTTAGTTTCTCTTCATAAAAGCACATTAGAAATTCTATAAATTATTTTTTAATACTGGCGATTGAATCCAGAGCCTCCTGCACATTAGAGAAGTACTCTACTACTGAGCTATATCCCAGCCCTTCTTTCATTTCATTTTGAGATAAGGTCTCACTAAGGTTGTCCAGGTTAGCCTTGAATTTGCATTCTTCCCACTTCAACCTCCCAAGTGTCTGGATTATAGGCATTAACCACCACACCCAGTTAGAGAACCATGGAGTCTCTGGGATCTAATTACACTGTGCTAAAATGGGATCAATAGGACAATTATATAAATAAATAGCACAGTCTGAGGATGAAAGAAATGTCTAGGAAATAAGAGTATGCAAAAGAGGAAGAGTCTTTAGGCATCTTCTTTCGGTTGTTTTTGTCTTTTCTTTTTTGTGAGACAAGGTCTCATAGCTCACAGTAGCCTTGAACTTGCCATCCTTCTGCTTCAGCCTCCAGAGTGCTGAGATGAGAGGCAGGAGCCCTTGCGCCTGGCTTTCTTGGGCTTCTCAAAGAGAAATTTAAAAACTTATAACAGATGCCTTGTTTATAAAGAAGCTGCCTATCTGGGTGTGGAGGCACATACCTGCAATCTTGATACTCTTGGAGCCTGGGCAATTTGGGGACTTAGCAAGACCCTGTCTCAAAATAAAAAATAAATTACAAATTTTAAAAGGGCTGGGGATACAACTCAGTGTAAAGGCCTTGGGTTCAATCCCAAGAAACATGAGGGAAAAATGAGAGAGAGAAAGAGAGAGAGAAACAGAGACAGAGACAGAGACACAAAGTCTGGGGTGGGGGGAAAGTGGGAAACACTTTCTACTTTATTTTTTCTACATTATTCGCTGATACTCAAGAATTGGTTACAAGGGTTCTAAATACTGGTCAATCCTTTCAGCCCTCCCAGATTGTCTGGGGCCTCATCTATTAACTACAGTGTGCCTGAGTACAAATATTGTCAGTCTCTATGTGTGCCATGATATGGAATAGGTTAGGAAGTATTATTTTATACAGTCAGCTGGAGGAATGAAAAAGTAAGAGAGAATATAATAGTAAAGAAAACTTATTTCATTCACCTTTAGGAAGGCTAGAAATTTCTTCAGTTCTTCATTCTCTTTTCTCAAGACTGACAACTCTCTAAGCAAAAGATGGAAGCAATAAGCTCCAAGTCAGTGGGATAAAAAATATTAATATTACAATCACTATTACTATCAACATCTAGTTAATATTTGGAGATGCTTACAGATATACAGAGTATTTTTATCTAGGATCTGATGATTCAGAGAAACAATGGCAGCGTGTTGATGGTGAGAACAATCAAGTCAACAAAACAAGCAGTCAATTGGTATGATTTCAGTGGGATCAGTTTAGATTTCCATTTCCTCTCACATAATCTTAGCCTGCTGATGTCTAAAAATTTCCATCAAGGATTTCATCTTTTAGCTTAAGATCTCCAAAATATACCCTCCCAAAGATAACATTTAAAATATTGTATTTCTTTTTATCAGGGTGAATCATCTGATTTCTCTGAAGAAGCAGTCATTGATACAGGGAAGGAGAGGGAAGCCAGAAAGTGAGGAGGGCCCAGACATAAAAAATAAAAATATAAAATGGAGACTGAGGGGACCAACCAAAAAGTCTGTCCCCAATTTCCTCAAAACAAACATAATATACATGGGAAAATTTTCAATCTTTGCAAATACAAGAAAAGGACTATAATATCTCTGAAAGGAAAAAAAAAGCTATCTGTGGATTTGTTACTTACTTGTCCTGGCTGGTCACTGTTTGCTGTACCTCCTGAATGGCTGCTTCTAACTTTGTAATTCTATGCTTATAAAAAGCAATGAGGAGATCTGTTTGTTTCTTCTGGAAACTCCACACCTACTAGGAAAAAATAGGCCTTGGACATACATTCCCATGATTCCCTTTCCCTTAGCTTTGGCAACAAAGGGAAATCTATCAACTCATACTTCATTACTGCTCTTTTTCTTCTGGAACATTTATCTTAATTCATAAATCCCCAGGCCGGGGATTTAGCTCAGTGGTTCCACTGCCTGCCTCTCGAGTACAAGGACCCAAGTTAATCCCTGGTACCAGAAAACTAACTAAATAAATAAATCCCCAAAAGTAGACAGCTCAGCATTAGGGAAAGGGTTTTCATTTCCAACATGCTAGCTTTCTAATTTCTTAATTGTAATATTGTGACAGAGAATGGCCCTTTAAAAAAAAATAACATTTTATCCTATCAGAATTAGTTCTTGTCTATAATTAGCTTGGACTCTGCTCCCATAGCCTTAGGTATCACAGAGCCCTGGTCACCAATTTACTTTCCCTGAGACACGTATTCAGTCACTTGCAGGTAGTTCATGCTCCTGCAGTGAATGGTGAAGATTCATACAAGCACCTATTCCTGAATTTTATTTTTGGGCATGAACACATGATTTTATCTTTTGTGTCACTTTAACATTTGCTACACTGAGGTACAGAATTTATCATGGGATTGCTGAATCAGATCAAAAGTTAATATTTAGATTGTATTTTAGCTTTGTCAACTTCTACTTTTGAATACACAGCAGTATTTATGTCTCATCTGCTTTCTCCCTGCTCAGACCATAAACTTCTGTCAAGGGTCCTTCTCTAGATCTCAGTACTCCTCACATAAATATTTTCATCTAATTTGCAAATTGCTTTTGCCACTTACTACAATATTGAAAGTCTAAATTAGTTCTTGAGAGATAAGAATATATTGTAGTTTATTTTTCTACAAAGGCTTTACTCTTTTTTTAGTGTTATTTTTGGAGGGTGGTTGTTTTTGTTTTTGTTTTTACTTTGGTACTGCAGATTGGAACCCAGGGAGTACTGAACTAAATCTCCAGCCCTTCCCTTTTTTATTTTGAGACAGGATCTTGCTAGGTTGTCCAGGTTGGCCTCAAACTTGCAATCCTCCTCCTGCTCAGCCTCCTGAGCAGCTAGGATCACAGGCATGTGCCATCCCGAATAGCTAAAGATATTGTTTGTTTGTTTTTATAAAATTAAGGCATGTCTGGTTTAGAAAATTCAGCCAGAGCACCAGCAGAAAAATGTCACTCAGAATCCTAGGAGTTATCTAAAGTTATGGGAGGAGTTTTAGGGAGCAACAGACATTATGAGTAGATAGAATAAATAGCCAAGACACAGTATCCTTAACATTCTAATCCTACCCTTAGGATCAGTCTGTGATAAAATTAAGTTGTCAGGCTAGCATCAAGAAAACCCAAATCTTATTCTAGACATTTCTCTCTGAGATCACCAAGCCTCATATATACACAGAAAACAGACCCCACTGTGGAACCCTAGTGAGCCAGACTACAATGTGGCAGGGCCTTTTGCCTATGCCTAAGCAAAAGGGCAGAAGAAAGCAAAAACAGAACAAAACAGAATAATTTCAAAACAGGTGTGTTCAAAAGGGATCTAGGAGTATTAGAAATGCTTGCTTTGTGCAGAAGAAAAAGTGGTAACCATAAGAGGAAAAATGAGAACTATAGGGTAAAACAGATGAAACTATCATGCTGTCTGGTTGCTTTTCTGTTCTTTATGGACATTCACATTCAGACCCCAGCAATGATGTTGTCCATGGGGCATGTAGTAACCAATATGGCAGACCTGAGATGAAGCTGAAAATACGAAAGCTGGGAGCAAGGAAGAGCCTTGAATCTTGAGGTAGGATGCTGACTCTAAGATGCCCTTGAGCAGTGGAGCCTCTGGAGGGAAAGGAGTGGATGCAAACCCGGTTGAGACATATAACAGTAGGGATGAATGGGACACTGGAGTAGGGAATCTCTCATTGACCTAGATACCGATCTGGAAAAGGAACAGCAGAAATGAAATGTCAGGCTCAAAGGAGGTGGGATACCAGCGCCCAGTGCTGTGGCCACACTGCCAGATATCAAGTTTGTGGCTTCAGTATCATGTCCTCAAGGGAAGAGAGGCAAATCAAAATCCAAAAGGAATAAGAGTGGCAAAGACACTAGCAAACCCACTCCAGTAACTTCCTTGTTCATTCCAAGTGAGGGGGCAGCTGGCAAGAAAGTGGTTCAGGGGTGCTCAGGAGCTGGTGCCAGTGCAGGAGGCCTGGTTGTGGCTATTGCTCCCCAAGGGCTTGGAGATGGCATCTAAGGCATCATGCAGTGTGGCTGGCTCCAAAAAGGAGGAGAACAGTTCATCTAAGAGCAAGAAAGAGAGAAGTGAAGGAGTGGGGACTTGTTCAGAAAAGGATCCTGAGGTCCTCTGGCCAATTGCCTTGGGAGGAGAGGTGGTCAGTAAAATGGAAGTGCAGGGGTGATACAGAGGAGACACTTGGGAGTATAGCTAGTGAGCCTGGGGCAGTGCTGAATCTTTTGGGAGCTAAACTGGATCCAGAGGAAGGGGAAAATGAGTGTCCACCTGCTAAAGTCTGAAAAGGTAAGAAGTAACTAGATCTGGCTGCCTACTGCCGGTCAAAACTGCCCTGGATTAACTGCCAAATGTGGTGGGCACACTGTGGGAAGCTCATTAGTTTGTGGGTAATGACCAATTATGAGGTCAGAGCAGCTGGTAATGATAATGTGGTTTTACTCCAAAGTAGGATTCCCTACAGACCCATTTACAGCAAGCCTGGACATTTCTGAATAGTGTATCTATTGTGGGGATAGCTACTTGGTAGCATGAATTTTCTGCTATCTTGTTACTGTCCTACCTCATACATTTGTTGCTAGAGGCTGACTTCAAACCTTTACGTGGTTTCCTGCTTGATCGACATTTATCATCAAAGTCATAATAGTTGACACACTTAATAGACCTTTGGTTACATGTACAGGTTGAGTGCTGTTCTTTTTTGTTTGTTTGTTTGTTTTCTTTTTTTCTTTTGGTACCAGGGATTGAACTCAGGTACTTGTGCTTATAAGGCAGGCACCAGCACCACTAAGCTAAATCCCCAGCCCTGAGTGCTGTTCTTAAAGGGATAAATGGTTACTGGTGGGTTTCTAAAAGAACAAAGGTTAATTAAATTTCATGGGGTTATCTAAAAAAACAATTTTCAAATAAATTTCCTTATAAAGGTTAAAACAGAGGAGACTTCCTTATCATACTGGATAAATTTGGCCTGTTTGGACACTTGGCTATTACCTCTCTCTCTCCTGACTTCTTAGAAGGTCAAGTACAACAGTTTGGGCTTGATGGTGAGGAACTTCAGCAGGAATAAATCTACTTTGGGATACTGGGTCTAGTGTAGAAGCTTAGTCAAAACTAATGGCTTCCTATAAATCTTATTTAACATATGAAATGTAATTTCTATTCTATTTACTGAAGAGAATATTTTAAAACTAGTTCTGCCGGGCGTGGTAGTACACACCTGTAATCCCAGCACTAGGGAGGCTGAGGCAGGAGGATCACTGTGAGTTGGAGACCAGCATGGGCTACATAGTGAGTTCCAGGTCAGTCTCAACTACA